ATGCATTAATGAATGGATGCGAGCATCTGAGGGTCCTTCCCTTCTACTGTCCTGAGCATTTATATATTGAAACAGTCGTGCTTGGACAGTGATGTATTGAAATACCTACTATTAGAATTTACTTTTCTTCTGTATCTCTTTGGTATTTTGTTTAAGGCTTTCTTTTTTTTTTGAAATTATATGTATAGGTGATGAACGGTGAATGTTGACTCAGAAGGGTACAGAAAGCCCCTTACTAAATATGTGTCATAAAAAACAGACACTTGGGCAGTGCCTGTGGCTCAAGGAGTAGGGCGCCAGACCCATATGCTGGAGATGGCAGGTTCAAACCCAGCCCTGGCCAAAAACTGCAAAAAAAGAAAAAAAAAAAAAAGCGGACACTTGTTCTGATAGAGAACCACTGTTTTTAAAAATACAAGGGAATTGTCCCTAGCAGGACAGCTGCTCCCCAGTCCCCTGGTTTATACCTGTTGTCCTGGCATAGTTATTAATTGTGTCCCTTCCAGTGTTGAGAGTCCTTGTTTGGGTGATAAATTGTATCAGTCCACATTTTTAGAGGCATTTCTCCTCCTTATAATCTCGATCACATTATTCACTTTTTGAGCAGTAAGTTCTCTCTCAATTCAGTCTTTGCCTTTGACAAATAGGGTTGGGTCTACTTTTATCCCCTTCACTATTGAACTCTTTGCTCCTAGCCCTGCCGCCAGTCTCTTTTTCTCACCCTTGAAAAATCTAAACTCACTGGCTCAGATGCCTTCAGTGTCTTGGCCTTCCCTTTTTCTCACCAACCTGATCTGTCCTCTCCAATGCTCTGAACTCACTCTTCTATTTTTGGTATTTCTACCTTAATCTTCTTTCCACTTATTTTTCTACGTAGCCTTAGTGTTCTGCCAAATTGTCATACTTTTGCAGAATTAATTTTGCCTTATCTGACAGTTTGCAACTTCAAGTTTTTTCCTATAAATAGACTCCATTAGATATTTTAGCCCAAATTCTCTTTTTGTTTTGATTTAAACTCTGGTGTTAACTCACATTTAAATAAGCATTTCTCAATACCATTTACTTTCAGCTGACTTTTTGAATCATATCATGAACTACTCTTATCCTGACACAGAAGTCTCTAAATAACATTCTTTTTGCTATTCTTGGGTAAAATGTCATATTTTTGTGCTCATTTTATTTTTTAAAGAATAAAGGAATGTTAACCTTTAGACTAAAAGGTTTAGCTCGCAAGAGTTTTTAAAAGGCTCAGTCTTCTGAATCCACCGATCCAAGTTTAAATCTTGGTAGAAGCTTTCCATTTAATTGGGAAGAAGGTCTTATGGGTTTCCATGGTATAACAGTGAGCACTCTGGACTCTAAAAATGCTCAGCCTAATTTTTTTATTGTGGTAAAATACACATAATACACAATTCACCAATTTAACCACTTCAGCATGTACAGCTCACTGTCATTAAATGCCTTCACAGTTTGTGCAGCCATCACCACTGTCTCGTTCTTTTTCATTACCCCTAGTGGACCCAGCTCCTGTCAAGCATTCACTCCCCATCCCATCCTCCCTGGCGACCACTAACCAGCTTCTTTCCCTGTACTCGCCTCTCCTGGACATTTGACTTGCATGGATTCAGACCACGTGTGGCCTTTCAGGTCTGGACTCCTTCACTCAGCACACTTTCCTGAGCTTGTCAGTGTTGGAGACCATACCAATACCTCACTCCTCTGTCTGGCCGCAGGGTATTTCACTGTATGGATACAACACATACTGGTTTATCCATTCCTCAGTTGATTGCTATAATTTTTCTGAAATGAGCGATATGTAGTACAGTAGCACAGATGAATGCAGGAAACAGTACTCAGAAATTTGGGGCAGGAGTGTTCATGGTCGTGCATGGGCATTGCTGTTGTAGAGCGTGCATAGAGGCCCCGCTCGCCCTCTTTGGGTGTTTGGAGGCCAGAGTTTACTTTCTCTTCCCTCTCCCTTTTCTTTGTTTTTGTTTTTTTATTTTTTTTATTTTTGAGATAGAGTCTTAAGCTGTCACTCTGGGTAGAGTGCTGTGGCATTATAGCTCACAGCAACCTCCAACTCTTGGGCTTAAGTGATTCTCTTGCCTCAGCCTCCCAAAGTAGCTGGAACTACAGGCACCCGCCACAACACCCGGCTATTTTTTTTATTGCTGTTGCAGTTGTCATTGTTGTTTTAGCTGGTCGGGCCGGGTTCAAACCCGACAGCGTTGGTGTATGTGTCCAGCGCCCTTTCCACTGAGCTGCAGATGCTGCCCTCCCGCTCCCTTTTCTTGTAATGAGATCATGTGTTTTTTTTCTTTACCATTCATTGTGCAGGTTTTAGAAAATATAGCTGAATAAAATTACTTAGAGTCCCACCCTCCAAAACCAATCACTCTTAATAGCATTTTGATACTTTCTGTTAATTTTCCTGTTTGGGTGTTTTACTTTTACCTGGTTAGATTGAAGAGATAACTTTGAATAGATAACTTTGTATGCTGCTGGGTTTTTTCATGAAGTGCATTTATTTAACAAATATTCAAATACCTGCAGTATACTGAGGATTATTCTGGATAACTCTGAGGAGTGGATAAGACGTTCTGGTGGGATGTGGTTTGGGGGTCATCAGCATACAGCTGATACTTAAAGCTGTAGGACTGTCTGGGAAGAAGACAGAGCTGAGAAAGATCCCAGGACCGAGCCCCAGGGCACCCAGTTTGCAGAGGTCAAGCAGAGAAGGTTGAGAGAAGACAGGCAACCAGCTAAAGGCAGGAGAATCTAAAAGAGAAAGAGCTTTGAAGTGGAGTGGGCCTTTCTGTCAAATGCTATGGAGCATGTCAGTTAGATGGGGACAGAGGATCTGCCATTGAGTGTGGCCAGGTGGTCAGGATGGAGCTCAGTGAAATGAAGAGGTCCACATGTGGAACTTGCTAAGGAGCAAATGGGAGAATATTTTAACACATACATGTTATCTGCATATTTCGTACATTTTTTTTTCGAGACAGAGTCTCACTTTGTCACCCTCCGTAGAGTGCTATGGCATCGTATCTCACAGCAACCTCAAACTCTTGAGCTCAAGTGATTCCCTTACCTCAGCCTCCCCAGTAGCTGGGACTACAGGCACCCACTACAATGCCTGGCTAGTTTTTTTTTTTATTATTATTTTTCGTGGAGACAGGGGTCTCCCATTTTGCTCAGGCTATTCTTGAACTCCTGAGCTAAGGCAATCCACCCGCCTCGGCCTCCCAGGATGCTGGATCACAGGCATGAGCATATATTCTTTTTTTTTTTTCCATGTCATTTTCTCAATTATTGTTTTAAAACATTCAAATTCTACTCTTAGAAAGATTCACTTGTACCCCTGTAAGATAAACCTCAGAAGTGATCCCTCCAATGCCCCTCCCTCCCCCATTCCCCCCTCAGCATATATTCTTAAACAGAATGTAATGGCAGAATAAAATGTCTGCTTGTGCATTAAACATAACCACTTACTGCCTTCCTAATCTGTGACATTTACATTGTTTCCAGTTTTTACTGTTACAAAGAGGCCAAAATAAACAGCTTTGTAAGTTTTCCTGTCTAGTTTTAGCATCATTTCCTTCCATGGGAGTCACAGAAAGGGAGAGACTGGTGTGAGAGCAGAGCATCTTTAAAGCCTCTGACTTTTTCCGTGGTCAGATACTTTCCTTAATGACTGAACTGTCTGCCCTCCCTATGGCAGCCTCTGAGGGGCCCAGCATCCTGACTGTACATGTGTCAGCTGCATCCTTCCTGAACAAGTCTCTCCTTTAGAAGTTCTTTGGCCCGTGAATCAGGAATGGAACGACAAGAACCAAATCACATTATGGAATGAAAATGAGATAGAGCTCACTAAATAATGTTAAATAGAAATCACCAGCCATACGGAGCCAACAACTTAAATGTGATGCAGGTGTTTCCCTAAGGTTCTGGTGAGACCAGGTATGACTAAGGGAAAGACTCAGATCTGATCTTCCTCCTCCGGGCCTACGTTCCTATGCAGGCATAGAAACATGATCAGTGCTAGAATTTAAGGAAGTTTACCCTTTTTCCAGTAAACACCCTGCGAATTCCCCATAGCAGCTGTCTGCTGATATCAGCGAATGACTTCTACCCTCCCCATGCATGCCTTGGCTGGGGTTTTATAAACATTTCCAGCTTGAAGCAAAAAGAGAACAACTTCCAGGGTGATCATCATCTCAAAATTGTCCTCTCCTCCCCATCTCCATTCCCCAAAATAAAATTCCTACTACTTTACAGTTACTTCCTGGTCACTTATGAATGGTCCTTCCCTGCTGTCTTGCAGGATTTGCTGTTTAACTCCTTTCTGCCCGGACGGCAGCAGCCACCCAGTAGGATAGCACGTGGTGTGACATCATCTCACCCAGGACATGGCAGCACTGCAGATTCTGGAGGAGGTGCTGGCTCTGCCGAGGCTCATCTCTAGTGATCTGTCCTGCTCCATGTCAACTTGTTACTGTTTGCTGTTTGCTGGGCCTTAAGTGGAGGAATGGAGGGTGGAGAATAGAGGTGGTAAGAGATATGCATGGGATGTCTCCCTCCTGAGTGGTGCTGGGTCATCAAAGATAAGCCCCAGAATGGAAGACCCAGTGAGAGACCTAAGAGCACAGCAAAATGGCTGAGGGTTCTAGAGCCCAGTAGATCAGGGTAAATTTTTGTACTGTTACTGATTCTGTTACCTTTTGCGGGTGACTTGACTTCTTTGAATCTCATTTTTTTCATCTGCTTAAAACACATAAGGGTAATGTATGTAGTACCAGCCTTGTTACATTCTCGTAAGAAACTCACATGGTGATGTATACACAGGATCTACCATAGCGCCCGTTGTGGCCCAGGGCACACTCAGTCTGGGCTAACTTTGCCATCACTCTCCTGCCCACCCTGCTGTGGAATCTTCCTGGCTTTCATTGTTCCAGGTTGGTAGCTCAGGCCTGACTCTTCAACCCTCTTTCTTGCAGGGAGTTCTATGAAGAAGCATGGTCAGCCTGTTTCCAAAACCTTAGGGTAAGTTCTGGGATGTTCAAGCCGTGGTAAGAGTTGGACTGGCTTTTCCTGCTGACGTGACCTGATGCATCTAGGGAGTAAGTCTTCTTGGGCCCCCTAGTTATAATAACAAAAGGGCAGGAGCCTAGTGGGATGTGATGTGTCATTCACACATACTGCTGACCTGGTGGCCTCTGTGGGTACTCCCCCCTGTGGTCCAGCTGCTAAATGCTAGGAAGGAGAGATGTGGCCAAAGTCTGCAGGTGACTCTAACAACCAAGACAATAGTCAGAACATGTAAAAAGCAGACTTAGGAGAGGTGAGTAACTGAAGCTCCTGTAACAGACAAGCCCCATGTTGCAGTGGCTCAATAAAGGGAAAGTTCATTTTTTACTCGAGGGACATTAAGTTCAGATATTCAGATACAATATGTGAAGATGCTATTTTTCAGGAACCCAGGCTTCTTCCATTTTGGAGCGCCATCATCTCCTAGGCAGGCCCTTGGGCCGCTGCTAGGCCTTCTGTGTCTCTCCAGCTCAGGCAAGAGAGTGTGGAGAGTTTCAGGCTGTTTCAACTGGTTGGCCCAGGAAATAGCGTTCAGCACTTCCATCTTGCAGCCGGCCTGAGTTCAGCAGATTCAGGTGTACCTAAGTACACAGGAGGCTAGTAAACGAAGCCTAGCTGCGTGTCCAGGAGGTAGAGGAAATAGGTTTTGATGCCACAGATCTTTCCAGAGAGGCATGAGAAAGTGTTCAAGGTGTAGAGTTGGGAAGACTGCTCTCTGATGGTTTCCAGTGCCAACGTAAAAGTGACTTGAGTAGGGTAGAAGGGAGAAGATTGAATCTCTGCCTTGCCTGGGGCTGTATTATCTGATGATTTCTTTCCAGGGACAAATTTTCAGCCCCAGCAGTGGAGACCCGTCCTAGCATCTGGGGAGAGTGCCCACCAAAGTTTGCTACCAAGCTGGGCCGAGCAGTGGTCAAAGAAGGACAGATTGGACGATTCTCCTGCAAGATCACTGGCCGGCCCCAACCACAGGTCACCTGGCTCAAGGTGAGCTTTCTGTCTGCCCTGACTCTGGCCCAGACCTGTTCCGGTTAGATGCTTTGAAGAGTAGGAGCCTGTCTTTCCATCACTTCCTTCTGTTCTGGTTTGTTAGAAATGCTTATTTTTGTCCCTGTCACACACCTTCACTCTATTACTCAGACCACAAAGCTCCTATAATCCCCGTACTCACAAATAGCTTAAAACTTCTGAGTTAAGGCTCAGCGCCTATAGCTCAACTGGCTAAGGCACTAGCCACGTACACCTAAGATGGCGGGTTCGAATCCCCAGCCCGGACCTGCCAAACAACAATGACGGCTGCAACCAAAAAATAGCCGGGCGTTGTGGCGGGCGCCTGTGGTCCCAGCTACTTGGGAGGCAGAGGCAGGAGACTCGCTTGAGCCCAGGAGTTGGAGGTTGCTGTGAGCTGTAATGCCACAGCACTCTGCCCAGGGGGACAGCTTGAGGCTCTGTCTCAAAAAAAAAAAAAAAAACTTCTGAGTTAAGACAGATTTGACAATCTTAAGAGAGTGGACTATAAGTTTATGGTATCGGGTTTCAAGCCATAGCTCCCACCTTCATAAAGCATGTGGCATTGGACAAGTCACTGGATCTCTCAGAACCAGTGTCTCTTGGTTTCCTTATCTGGAAGGTAGAAATAATGCCACCTACCTCCAAATATTGCCAGAAGGCTCCATGTCGAAGTGCCATATAAATCCTTCAGGGCTGGATGCAGTGAAGACCGAGGCAGAAGTGGTCGGGGAGAGAGGATGAGGGGTTAGATGTCAAACAGGGCAGTAAGGAAGGTAGGGCACAGGGGGGTCACAGCCAGGCAGACTGGGAGTTTAGAGATGGAGCTCCTGGGTGAAAATGGTTATTGATACTTCTTACCTGCTTCCTAATTCTCCTGAACTCACCCTGGGAAAAAACTAAAGGGAGTAGGAAGGCAAAGACAAGTGGAAGCAGGGGAGTAGGGGACTTCTTCCCTCAGGCTCAGCTTCCATGTGTCTGCGCTGAACTAGACAGGATGCCCCTCCAGGTACACAGGCCTCAAGAGGGCCCTGGCCCCGTCTGAAGACTGCTGAGCACTGCATTGACAGAGCCCAGTGCAGAGGACTCTGCTGCCCAGGTCCTGGTGTCTGTCCCACCAGACTTGGCAGGAGGCAGGAGAACACTGCCAAAAGTTAAGGAGATTTCTGTGACCAAGCTGCCCCGTTGCCATCCACAGGGAAACGTGCCACTGCAGCCAAGTGCCCGGGTATCTATGTCTGAGAAGAATGGGGTGCAAGTTCTGGAAATCCATGAAGTCAACCAAGATGATGTGGGCGTGTACACATGCCTGGTGGTGAACGGGTCAGGGAAGGCCTCCATGTCAGCTGAGCTTTCCATCCAAGGTATCACCTGTGGGCAGGCCAGTGCAGAACTGTCCCTTCCAGGCCTGCGCCTTCCTGAAGGGCTTGTTGGCTGCACCTCTGCTTGTTTGGCCATGTGACGCACTCACGCACCCACACATCCCCTGGGGCAGGTCTCTAATAAGAAGACAGGGGCTCAGGGCAGCACAGGCCTGGCCACAGGGAGGAGGCTGTGTCCTGGACTCCACCTTCCGCTGAGCCCTCACCCTTTGCCCTGCCCTGTGTCTTCAGCCTCTCCCTACTCAGACTGTTTTTCTGTATCTCTAACTGCCAACTGGAAGAGTGGATGTCGCACTCAAAAGTGTCCTCATCATCCACTCTACCCTTCAGATCAGGTGTTTCCTCGACCTGATGCTGTTACTGGGTCCCCGTGGTCCTTCTCACCCAGACTGGACAGTTCAGTGTGCTCTTTGACCCCTCCCCCTTTCCTCCTTCACCCTTCAACACTGTCAGCTCTTCCTTGGAAATCTTGCTGAACATGTCTGTCCCAGGCTTGGCACCTGTAGGACAGTGGTTATGGCGCCAGCCACATGCACCAAGGCTGGCAGGTTCAAACCCAGCCAGGCTAGCTAAACAACAATGACAACTGCAACAAAGAAATAGCTGGGCGTTGTGCCAGGCGCCTGTAGTCCCAGCTACTTGGGAGGCTGAGGCAAGAGAATCACTTAAGCCCAAAAGTTGGAGGTTGCTGTGAGCTGTGATGCCACAGCACTCTACCAAGGGTGATATAATGAGACTCTGTCTCAAAAAAGAAAAAGAAAAACATGTCTGTTCCTTACTGTCTCTTGGTCCCTCCAAGTCCAGCCTGGGGACCCAGGGGGCATATGGGGAAGGGGCTGGATGTCCCTTCCTTGAGGAAGGCAGATTTCCTTCAGAAGGGAAGTGACCTTCCTGCCTTCCTTATCCTTTTTCCCCCCTCTTTTCTTCTGAGGTTTTTCTCTGCATCTCTTTCCTTTCTCTGAAACTATTCCTCCTTGCTTTCGTCACTATTTTCGGTCCAACCTGTGGATTTTTCACGGTCCACAGAAAGAAATTCATTTTACAGTATAGTGCAACCCAGAACATGTGTATACGCATAAGCATATTTAACTGAAATGAGTTTCATGAAACAGCCCTGAATTGTTCCCTATTCTAGTCAACACCACTATAACAAGTCCTGGTCCTAACCAAAGAGTTTCACCGGCTCACTCACTGCTGGATCAGGAGCTTCTTTCAGGCATCCAGAGGACTGAGTTAGCTACTCTCCCTGTACCTACCCTGGTGCCAAATTACCAACTGTTCCCTTCTGGTGGACGTCATGACTAAATATGTTGCCTGGGATTGGTTTTAAAATATTCAAACCGACTGGTCACGGTGGGTCACGCCTGTAATCCTAGCACTCTAGGAGGTGGGTGGATTGCCTGAGCTCAGGAGTTCGAGACCAGTCTGAGCAAGAATAAGACCCCATCTCTACTAAAAATAGAAAAAACGAGCCAGGTGTTGTGGCAGGCACCTGTAGTCCCCTCTACTCAGGAGGTTGAGACCGGAGGATCGCTTGAGCCCAGGAGTTTGAGGTTGCTGTGAGCTGTGACACCTTAGCGCTCAACCCTTAGGCAACTGAATGAGACTCTGTCTCAAAAAAAAAAAAAAATACTCAAAAGAAAACAAAAAGAGCTAAATAAGACTAGGAAAGTGTTGGTAGTACCTTAATCTTGGTGCTGGCTTTCAGGGTTTGTTATAACCCTCTCTCTCTATTACTGTATATTTTGAAACTTTTTATGAAAATTTTTAAAAAAGAACATGGCAGGAAAAAAATGTTTTTCTTTGAAGAACTGAATAAAATTACACTTCGTACATTTTTAAAGCATGTATTTGTCAAAAGTAAACACTTTGGGGGTTTTCTTTTTGAAGGCTACCAGTAAGTTACAGTGTTTGGGTTTGAAAGTTTCAGTAGATGTTTATTTTTATTTGTCCTTGGATTGGTTTTTGTTTCCTTGTGTTTAGCAAATAGGGACCAGTCCCATGTCCTCAGGGCACGGTAGCCGGAGCCACTATTTAAAAGCCCAGGAAGGGCAGCATTTGCAGCTTTGACTGCCCACTCCAGGGCTAGGAGGAACTGATCAGGCCAACCAAAGGTGTTCGGTACCAGGGAAGCTGGAAGGAGTGGGCAGGGTGGGTCCGTAGTGTCAGTGGAATGCATGGGAAGTGAAAACTTGGTGTTCAAAGTATTCCAAGCCTTCCACTAACATTCTTTTTACTCTTCTCCCCTTTTCCAGGTCTGGACAGTGCCAACAGGTATGTCCAGGCTTTGTGATTATGGTGTTTTCCATCTTGAATGCCTTGCAAGGAAGAATTGTTATCAAGAAATGCCCTTAATTCTCCAGTTGTTGTGTAGGGAGGGAGAATTGACTGGAGGAGATTGTTTTATTTCAAGTGTTTTGTTTCATCCTCCTACTGTAACATACCATCCTGGCTGTATATCAGGCTTGCTGTTGGGGCTAAGACTCAAAACCTCAGTGCCTCCACCTTCCTTAGTATCTATGCAGTCCCTCCAGTAGTTAGCCTTCACTGGGAAGAGCAAGCACTCCGCCTACATGTTCCAGGCCAGATCCATTCACTCACTCTGCTAGGTTCCTTGGGAGCTGCCTTCACTGTGTGAGGGCCAGTGCAGGATGTGGAGGGTATAGGACCAAGCAGATGACCTAGCATAGAGGAGGGCTTTAAACAGGGCCACAGACTGGGCATGGTGGCTCATGCCTATGATCCTAGCACTCTGGGAGGCTGAGGCAGGTGGACGACTTGAGCTCACAAGTTTGAGACCAGCTTGAGCAAGAGCGAGACCCTGTCTCTACTAAAAATAGAAAAACTGAGGCAAGAGGATCACTTAAACCCAAGAGTTAGAGGTTGCTGTGAGCTATGATGCCATAGCACTCTACCCTGGGCAACAGCTTGAGATTCTGTCTCAAAAAATAAATAAATAAATAAACAAACAGGGCCACGAATATATAATTAGAAACCATGATGCATCTCTGAGGAAGACTAACAGAAAGGCACTGATTTAGAATTGAGGATCAGAGAAGTCCTTGCTAAAAGCTCACTAGTTAAGCTCAGACCTGTGAAGAGTGATAACAGCTGATGAAGAAAGGCTCAGGAAGAGTGTTCCAGAGGGGACTGCGGGAGAAAGCCTTGAGGGTGAGAGATGGGCATGTGGGGACCCAGAAAGACACCCAGGTGGCCACAGTCTGGTCCTCATCATCAGGGTCAGGAGCAGTGCAGCCAGCATCCGTAGGCCATCTTGAGCAGCTCAGTTTATTCTCAATATAGTAGAAAAGCTGTTGGACAATCCTTGAGCTCGAAATGATATAATTTGATTTATGTTTTTAAGAGATTAATTATAGTTGCAGGGTAAAAAGTGGATTGGAGAGGACAGAATGGAAAAGGGAAATGGGGGGTGGCGAGTGTAACCTAGAAGGGCACCATGAGGAAGAGAAATGTGGGTGAGATGGGGCCCCAGGCACGGTGTGGTGCAGGGAAGGGTCAGGAGTGGCTGCTCACGCCCTGGTGTAGAAAACTGAGCAAATGGCAAAGAAAGACTTTTGCTCTTTCATGCTCTTAATGTGTGGGCTTCTGTGATCCCAGGAACCTGTGCTTGCAGTGAATAATGCTTGTGAGTAACCAGATGGTCATTCCATTCCTCCTCCTCCTCTCCCCATTCCTACCCTCCCCCCACCCCCCACCAAACAGGTCATTTGTAAGAGGAGCAAAGGCCACCAGTTCAGACATCAGGAGGGAGGTGACCAATGGAATCTCAAAGGGGTTGAAACCAGACAGCCTGGAGACTGCAGCTGGAAATAAGAACTGCTCCAGCCCCCAGAGCGCTGGCTCCCCAGCCTGGACCACAAACAGCCAGCCCCAGGCCTTGAGAGAATCCAAGCTGGAGCAGTGTGGGGACCCGCCCAGAGCAGCCCTGCAGGCCCCTGTCCTTCAAAAGACATCCAGTACCATCACCCTGCAGGCCACAAGAGTCCAGCCTGAAACAAGGGTGCCAGTCTTGAGGGCCTTGTCTCCTTCTGGAGAAGAGAGGAAAAGGCCAGCTGCTCTCCATCCAGCCACTGTCCTCACCAGGCACTCTGGCCTGGGAAACCAAGAAGCTGTGGACAAAGTTGCTAACAGAAAAATCCTCATGGAGAGCCAGAGGGATTCAGCACTCCCCAAATTTGAGAGCAAGCCTCAAAGCCAGGAAGTCAGAGAAGGTCAAACAGTCAAGTTCAGATGTGAGGGTGAGTAGAGCTAATTAAAATCACTGGTTCCCTTTGGTGGCCACACCCTTCCTTCAGCACACAGCTGGTCAGCAGCCCCAGCCCCATATCCACCTGTCCCCTTGGACTAGGACCCGCCTGAAACCACCTTATAGGAATCTTCTCCAAAGTCTAGAAATGTCCTTTATTCTGGAGAGACACCCAGCAGTGGCCCATTACTGCTTGTTGAGTAGAGCATTGGGCCTGTGCCCTAATTCTTACCACCCTAGAAGAAACAAAACCTTCATCATCACCAGCATCAAAAACAAACCCAGAGTCTCCTCTTTTCTTTCCTCCCCTTCCTTGGCTTTGTCTGACCTGCAGACCTGGTCCTCACCCTGTGTTCCTCCTCCCCAGGGACCCTGATCCTCCTTAGGGTGTATAGGCCTGTGGGGTGCAGGAGGAGGGGTGAGGAAGCACTTGAGGAGGGAGGGCAACCCCATGTAGATTGAGCCCTGCCCTCCCCCTGCCCTGTTCACCAGTGCACCCCACTTTCCGGGGGCTGTTCTTCACCTGTCCCTATAGTTTCAGGGATCCCAAAGCCTGAAGTGGCCTGGTTCCTGGAAGGGACACCCGTGAGGAGACAGGAAGGCTCCATTGATGTTTATGAAGATGCCCGATCCCACTACCTCTGCCTGCTGAGAGCCCGGGCCGGGGACAGTGGGAAGTACAGCTGCACGGCTTCCAATATCCGAGGCCAGGCGTCCTGTAGCTGGACCCTCCTTGTGGAAAGTGAGTGAATTCCTCCAGGTGACTCTGGATTCTGTGTGGAGGACCATTCGAGGGTACTTCTTACATTGCAAATGATCCCCCCCCCATACAACCCAGCACAAGTCTCTATCATTCCCACCCATACACCCAGGCCAAATGCATTGCTCCAGGCTGGTGATTCTCACTCAGGAGTTCACATCAGAATCACCTCCGAATAAATGTGCCCAAGCCCCACCCCCAGCCCAGCTGAGAGCTCTCTTTTTTAGATCCCTCAGTTGTTTGAGCAGCACCATGACTCACTTTCGTAACCACAGAGAACCAAGCGTTCACTAAATACTCAGGTTTAAAGTAATGTGAGATGATGTGGAATCCCACATCTTTTATGTTTATTGTAATATCTGTTTATAAAAGTAATGCCTGTTCATCATGGGGAATGTAAACAACATATAATCTCATGACTCAGAAATAAATGATATTTTAATGTTTTTAAAATAAAATCAACATGCTGTTTGTTTCTATCCTAATTTTCTCATGTAATATAAACATCTTTATATTATCTAATATTCTTTGAAAGCTTAATTTTTAATGGCCATAAAATATTGCATTGGGTGGATGTTATCTAATTTAGGTCTGCTCTTATTTTTTCAGTATTTAAATTGTTTCCATTTTTTGCCATTGCATGTGTAACAAAACCGTGATAAATATTCTAGTGCTTGTCTCCATAAGATTTCCCCCTCCACTCTAAATGCACATGTAGACCCTAGACCCGTGTCACATCCTTGAGAAACCTATTAAATAATGCCACAAGGATAGATTTGGTAAATTTCAGGCTGTTGGAAACTCTATGAGACAAATAACCTTCACGCACTTCTTTTCAACAGATAAATTGCAAACAAAAAGGTGAAACGACCCAGAGGAAGCTTAGACTAAAAGATACATAAGCAACATCGGCAATTACAATAATTAGCCCCTGTGTGGATCCTGATTGAGATAATTTAAGAATTTTTGTAAGAACATCAGGAAAATTTGGACTTTGATAAACTATTCAATGAAAAGGAATTTGTGCTATTTTAAGATGTGACGATGATCTTGTTACTTTTTTTAAGTTCATCTGTTTTAGAGCTACAAACTGAGTTATCTACTGGTAAAATATAATTTCTGATATTTGCCTTAGAAGAAATTCAGGCTTAGGGGGATTGGCAGAGGTAGTAATAAAATGATATCAGGAGAAATAGAAGTTGACTGGTACCCTAGGGATTCGCAACACTGCTATCTCCACATTTTGATAGTTTTTGATAATAAACATATCTAAAAAGGTAATAATTTAATGGTTTACCTATACAGTATAATGCCACATAGCATTCTGTAGACTGATGGGGAAACATGTCCAGGGTACTCTAGTAATGGAAAAGAACAAAGTATAGGCTGCATGTCATCATGGAGTGGCACGTTTTTGTAAAAGAATGAAAAGAACTGTAGATATACTTGCAAAAAAATGCCAAATGTGCATAAACCATTTCTGGAAGGGCACACAAGTTGCCTCTAAGAGGAGAAATTAGGGACCTTGGGTAGGAAGGGAGCCTTACTCTTCTCTGTATACTGCTCATTCCCTTTTTTTTTTTTTTTTTTTTTGAGATAAAGTCTCACTCTGCCACCTTGGGTAGAGTGCTATGGTGTCATAGCTCACAGCAACCTCAAACTCTGATCCTCTTGCCTCAGCCTCCCACGTAGCTGGGACTATAGGCACCTGTCACAATACCTGGCTACTTCTTAGAAATGGGGTCTCACTCTTGCTCAGGCTGGTCTCAAGCTCCTGAGCTCAGGCAATCCACTTGCCTCAGCCTCCCAGAGTGCTAGGATTACAGGCATGAGCCACCACACCCAGCTCATTCCTTTCTTAATTGGGATTTTTACTATGTTAGTGAATTCCCTTGCAAGGAGTATTGTCCCTTCCATTTGGAGGTGGGAGTGCCTATAGGCAGAGTTCACAGGTCCAGAAGCAGGAGCCTCGGCAGCCAGGCAGGGCTCTGTGTCTGAACAGGGGCTAGGCACATGGCATCAGGTCTATCCCCAAAGAGCGTCACCACTCCTATGGCTTCCTCTCCTGTGAAGTTATTCAAGTCTTGTAGAAGACTATATTTAGCCTATTTGCATCTTGGGGTAATTCCTTTTTTTTTTTTTTTTTTTGCAGTTTTTGGCCGGGGCTGGGTTTGAACCCACCACCTCCGGCATATGGGGCCAGTGCCCTACTCCTTTGAGCCACAGGTACCACCCCTTGGGGGTAATTCTTACTTTCTTTCATGTGACAGCTTTATAGAGATATAGTCATATAACATAAAAGCCATTCTTTTGAAATGTTCTATTCAGTGATTTTTAATATAATCACAGAGTTGTGTGGCCATCACAACTATCAAATTTCAGAACATTTTCATCACCCCTCTCATGATAAAATATACCGATAGCAGTCACTCCCATTCTCCCAGCCCCTGGTAACTGTTTCTGTCACTATGGATTTTCCTGTCCTGAACATTTCACCTATATGGGAACATACAGTCGGTGGTCTTGTGTCCGGCTTCTTTCTACTTTCTCATTTTCACAGTTCATCTGTGTTACAGCAGGTCCAGTTCGTCATCTTTATGGCTGGATCATATTCCGTTGTAGGAATACAGAATGTTTTGTGTATCCATTCATCAGTTGATGGATATTTGGTTGGTTTCTTGGCTGTTGTGACGAGTGTTGCGATGAGTACTTCCATTCTTTTTCTGAATACCTGTTTTCAATTTTAAGGATATATACCTATGATCGGGACTGTTGAGTCACATCGTAATTCTGTTTAACCTTTTGAGGAACTGACAAACTGTTCTACAGTGGCTGTACCATTTTATACTCTACCAGCAACATACAAGCATTCCCATTTCTTCATATCCCCACCAACACCTGTGATTTTCTGTTTTCTAATTATAGTGGCCCACAGTCATCTCACTGTGACTTTGATTTGCAGTTCCCTGATGACTCATGATGTTGGACATCACTTTACCTGCTTATTAGCCATTTGTGTAACTTCTTTGGAGGAATACCTGTTCAAATAGAACAAGTATTTTCTATTTTTTAATTGCTGAGCTATAAGACTTTTTCATATATTCTGAATATAATGACTTTATCAGACATATGATTTGTAATAAATTTTCCCCATTCATGAAATCTAGATAATTTCTTATGTTGTAGTCCCTGAAGCCCCTGGTTAGTTAGCTTAATAATCAGCTGGCTGACTGGATAGGGATTTCCTTAAATGCTTTGAAGCAGCCCATCTCCCGGCCTTTCTGAGGGGCTCTGTGCGTGTGTGTTGGGATTGGGATTGCTCCATCCAGCCTTAGGCTTTCCTTCCTGCTCGACAGAGCCTCCAGGTGAGCTGGAGGTGAGAGAGGACGGCCTCTCAGGTCCTTCCTGGACATGTCCACAGCCCTGCACATGTATGTGGCCTTCTAGGTTCCCAGGAATGTCAGAGCTTTTCCAAGCCCTGGACGTTCCCTCAGTTTTTCCTTTTATCAGACTCATTTAATTAGACTCAATTGATTTTGCTGCTTTGAGTAGCCGTGATACTGACAATTACCACTGGTTTTTGGTGGTAATTGCCCTGGAGATAGGGCTGTTCACAGGGCAGCAGTTCTCAACTGCTGTAGTCGTGACCCACAGGAACTGTATTAAAGGATTGTGGCATTAGGAAGGCTGAGAACAACTGACATAGGGCAAACTCTGAGTTAAGTCAAAGAAGAGCCTGGAAATGGAACTCTTGAAGGAGCTGCCAGACAATCCAGATAGTGACAGTTCTCTTAGGGATGGGGTCATTTAGGAGCTCTGAATCCAACCTGCTCAGAGCTGCCCCAGAGCTGGGGCAAGGAGGATGGGAGTGTAAACGCCACAGGTTTGCTGCTCTCATTAAGAACGGGAAGTTGGGGGGGTGGGGGTGTTGTTTTTAAATGAATGTTTCTCAAAATGTTGCAACCTTTGCTTACTTTCCAGAGTTTGGAAAAAGTTGATTTTGACTCTTGTTGCCAGTACCCTTTTTAAGAGGAGTAGATTTTCAGAGGTCTTTACGCTGCCATTCCAGAAGTGCTTCTCAACTCCCTAGCTTCTTGGACACTAGCAGTTCCCAAACTTCTCTACCCTCCAAAAGTCCCAGCTCACCCTTGGCAGATGCCTTTACCAAGAACCAGTTTGTCTGTGTTCCTCTAGTTTTCCCTATAGACCTTCTTTCTCTTATCACTGCAGAAAAGTTGTGTATTTCCCTTCCCAAGGCTTCTATTTCTCTCTGCTCCCATGTGGAGACAAGGATCTGATCTAATAATGATTTAGTCTCCCACCATTTCTTCAAGCCATTGTTTTTTGTTTGTTTGTTTTTTGAGACAGAGTCTCACTATGGTCCCCTTGTTAAAGTGCTGTGGGATCACAGCTCACAGCAACCTCAAACAAATGTGATTCTCTTGCCTCAGCCTCCCTAGTAGCTGGGACTATAGGCATCTGCCACAAAGCTCGGCTATTTTTTTTGTTGCAGTTGTCATTGTTGTTTAGCTGGCCCCAGCCTTGGTGCATGTAGTTGGCACCATTACCACTGTGCTACAGGCGCCGAGCCTCTTCAAACCTTTTTGAGAGGCCTCTTTTTTCTCCCCACAAGCATGCGCTGGTCTTCTCTATGCTGAGAAAGGAAGGGAGATCTCCCTTCTACCTGGTGGTCTCTCAAGCTCCCAGTTCATCCCTCCACCCTTTCACCCCCAAGTCATACTTGCTGCCCACAGAACCTTGTGCACAACTCCCATCTGTTAATAACAGCCAATGCCCTTGGCTGATGTTCTGTGTGCCAGGCTTTGTGCTAAATGCTCTCCTTGAATTATTTAGTGTAGTTATCCCAACAATCCTATGAGAAAATTACATTCACACCCATTTTCCAGATGAGAATACTGAGCTGTATGTCATAGGCTGAGTGACTCATCCAAGTTTACGTTTTGTAAAAGAGAGCATATTTCTAACCCAAGTTGGCTGGCCTGAAAGCCCATATTCTTCTCAGTGACTCCCAAAGGCATTTCTCTAATGAAGGAATTTGATGCTAGCCAGGAAAGGGGTAGAGATAGTAACTCCCTATCCCTCTCCCTCAGGACCAGACCTATCCCAGTGTACATCATTCTGTCCTGTAGCTAAACTCCCTGCTTACCCTCCCCTAGGGCCTAGAGGAGAAAAGGTGGCTGTAGAGTGAGAGAGCTGTCTGAAATAACTGGTTCACCATTGGGCTCAGCTCTGGGAAATTATTCATCTTATCTGTAAAATGGGCTCAAGATAAGAGCCTCATGGCATTGTCACAGTCATAGCTAGAAAAGTACCTGGCACATAGTAGATCCTCAAATACCACTAGTTTTCTTACCCGTGGATTCCCTGCTATGTAATATGGCTTTCCCTCATCTCTGTGTTGAATGGGCTCTCATGGTTCATCCTCTAATACCTGCCTGTCAGCTACTTGACAGTTGGGTAGCAGGTTTGGATTGTTAGAGAAGAGATTACCTACACTATTGCTCTTAATTAAGGTACCCGAACTATAAAATGTTCCTAGTTCACTGATGTAGTTAGAAGGCTTTTGGAAAGTTCAGCTCAGTGGTTCTCAACTAGAATGTGCTTTAGATCCATAAGGGTGCATTGTTAATGCATGTTCCCAGGCCCCCAGCAGTTCTGAAATCTTGAGCAGTTCCGAAATCTTGAGCTAGGTTGGGGCTACAACTGTACTTACAAAATAGAAACACAAGTGAGTCCTTTGTTATTTGATTCAGTTCTGGAATTAGAAAAAATATTTATAATGATTTAAAATTGAAACATCCTCACCTGTGGGCCTGTGGATTCTGTAGGCAAAAAGGTCATTGTGATCACTGCTGGGACTTGATAAGGTCTAGGAGACCACAGAAGGCTAGGAAGTAGAGTAGGACCACAAAGGCAGGAAGAAGGAGCTCTCAGGATGCTCCAGGATAGCCAAAGCCAAGACAAGACGGGAGGTGCCTGAGTCCCAGAGGAGAGAAGGCAGGCCCAGATTCGGAGTGGTCCAGGCCTGGGGTGTTTTGAGACTATGGAGAAGCTCCTGCCAGTTACCTGCCTCAGGCTCCAGGCCTCTGCACCGCGAGGCTGCCTGCTTCCTTCATGTGAAGTCTGCTTCCTAAGGCAAAGCCAGGCTGGTAAGGAAACCCAGTGCCCAGGACAGCAAGGTGTCTGCCTGTAAGGCTGGGGGTGACTGTGGCCAGTCACTAGCACCAGCAAGTTGTAATCTGAGATGGCCTGTGTGTCCTTTTCCCTTGCAGGGGTGGTCGTGATGGAGGTGGCTCCCTCGTTCTCCAGTGTCCTAAAGGACTGTTCTGTCATTGAGGGCCAGGATTTTGTGCTGCAGTGCTCTGTGCAGGGCACTCCTGTTCCCCGAATCACTTGGCTGCTCAATGGTGAGTCCCCCTGCCCCAGTCCTCTGCCCTACTCCCCTGAACAAGTCCCTACTCCTTTCTGAGCCTTGAGTTCTTTGTCTGCATCATGGGAATAATGCCACCTACCTTGCAGGGTAGCACCTGTGAAGTTAAATTAGATCATTTAAATAAAGTGGTTCATGAGGCCCCTGACACATAGGTACACAAGCAATTTAACTTCTTTTCGTGTGTCAAGTTCATAATAGGCCCTTACTTAATATTTGCTGAGATAATGAATGAACAAAGAAATTAATAAACTAATGAACCACACCAGAATAAGGGGTCCCACCTTTTATTTACTGACAGATGGTTCTAGAGTTCATAGACCAGTAATTTTTTTTAGTGTTATAGTCCTAGAAAAACCTGGCAACTCTTTTTTTTTTTTTCAAGTAAGGTCCTTTTAAAAAATTAATTACCATATATTTTCACTACCATCCCTCCCTTTTCCCAAAGGCTAGTCAAGTAAAGCAGTGAGAGAAGAAACAAAGGAATTTGTAACTGGTGGTGATTAATTAGTTGTAAACACCACCACACTCAGACCAGACCCACCCTTCTCTTTATAAAAAGGCCTTTAAATTTTAAAAGTGTAGGACCCCCCTGAGTTGAGCAGGGACTAACTTGGGGATCCGCAGAGAGGGTAAAAGAGCTCTTGCTCAGAATCAGGAGACACAGGCACTTCTCGTTCTCCACCAGAGTGGTCAGGTGACCTTGGAGACTTTACCCATTTGGGTGCTGTTGTCTTTATTGATAAAAAGATGGGCTGGAAGTGTAGGTCTGGGGCCTCAGCCAGCTGTCGTGTCTTATAGAACAGGCTCCCTAAGAAGGCAATGGCACCTTTACTTATGCACCAATAGTCCCCAGAGATGTCGGTGTCACTGATGGCCTGCCTATGACCTCCCTTGTTAGTACAGTTTGCTCAAGATTTGCTAGAAACTGTCTTTAATGAGTAAGAGGAGGCATCACATAGTCTTCCTATGAAATATTCTTATTTTTTCCAACCATTTAAAATAATATTGTAAGCACTATTCTTAGCTGGCAGGCTGTACAGAAGCAGGTTGCAGGTCGGCTTTGGCCCACAGGCTGTAATTTGCTGACCCATAGGTTTACACCGCTCAGGACTGTGCAGTTTCCTCATCCTTTCCACTAGAGGGCGATTGTGCTCAAGTTGGCTTTCTTGGCTGCTAACTCTGATCCAACCCGGTCTCAGAGCTAGAAGAGTTCAGTGTCTCCCTATTCTGATGTGCCCTGAGCCAATGGCCCTTTCTGGGGCTTCCATCCCATCCCATGTTTGCAGGGCCAAAATGAGGTATGATCCAATAAAAGGATAGCTCTCAAAAAACTTGTCAACACATATTTGGACAGCAGAGGCCAATTGGCAGCAGTGTGGGTATATAATGATATTTTCAAGAAAGAGAGGTTTTGGGGGTGTCATTGTCACACACACACATGCAGTGTTTAATCCTCTCAAGGACAGGATCTTGGCCCCTGCCTTTCCCAGCTCTCTGCCCCACTTTCATGAAGTGCAGTAGGAAGGACTCTCAGACTCTCTTCCCTCTGGCCTGATGGTGTGCTTGGCAGTCTCTTTGCCAAACTGTCATGGAGATGTGAAGTGTTGCTATGTGCAGAAGAAAACATTGCATTGCAGGAAGAACACTTCTTTCTGTACTCTCACTTTCCCCCACCCCCAATTTTATGAAGTGCAAACCAGGACCCTGGGACCTGGCAAGGAAAATAACTGATAGTTGCTTCCTATATGGTGAATGGACACATTTCTGCTCCAAAGCCAGAATCTTCAGTAATGAGATTTTTTTCCCCCCTGGAAATGGAAGGTCACATCTTGGAATAATAAAATCTCAGGAACATATAGCATTAAGGAACCCACTGAAGCTCATTGCATGCTCTCCTGTCTCCAGGCAGGACTTTATGTGACCTGAATAAAGGGCTTCCGTGGAAGAGACCCTGAGAAGAAAGGACCAGAGTCATTTTTAGTTCCCTGTATTTGTCTTTTCTGTGAACCCTAAAATATACCTAATTTCACAGAAGAAATACACTTAACTGCAACATTAGGTTGGGGGTACAGAGCCGCTTTTTTATAAGGATCCGGAATGGGCACTGGAATCATCATTTCTGGAGACGTGAGCTGGGAGCCCCATGTTCAGTGTGGCCAAAGTCTGTTCTGTCTGAGGCTGCCTGTGGGCCAGCTGACCCTGTGAGATTCATTCCAGGCTCAGAATTCAGTGAAGTTGAAGATGTGCATGTGGAGGCTGTTTAACCTAGAATGTCTGAAACTGTGCCCCTCTCCCCCCTGCATTCTAAATTCCTCCCGAGTCTCCCTCCCCAGTCTTGTTCCTCCACCCCATACAATTACTCTCTTCCTTCATCTCCTTTCCAGCCCATGGGCCTCTGTCCAGCTGGCTGGGGATGGGCTGACACATCAGTAGCCCTGGATCTGAGCAAGCATGAAAAGCCCCAGCATCATGATAGCAACAGCCCTGCTGAGGACAGGCTCCTGTCCCACCTCGAGGCTCCTGGCCTGAGCCTCCCTGTGCTTCCTCTGCAGGGCAGCCCATCCAGTATGCTCACTCCACCTGCGAGGACGGCGTGGCTGAGCTGCACGTCCAGGATGCCCTGCCAGAGGATGATGGCACCTACACCTGTCTGGCTGAAAATGCCTTGGGGCAGGTGTCCTGCAGCGCCCGGGTCACTGTCCATGGTAGGAGCCTTTGGGCACTTTGCTAAAAGCACTTTTCCTAAACATACATCTGCTTTGGAGGAGGGGCACTTTAGTGGAAATGGTGTTACTGGCTGAAATCCAGGGACCAGAAGTGCGTGTGACATTGCTCCTCACTCTTACCAGCAGGTGGTTGCTGATGCCTCTTTAGGGTTAGAGGATAGGGCCCTTAGAGACCATTGCATGTGAGGGCTGGCAAGTGGAAGAGGTGGCCTCCAGGAGTTCACAGTGACTAGTATCTGCCATGAGAGTGGTTGGCCCCCACAAATCCCCTTCCCAGGGCTGTGGGAAGATGCAGGGGAAAGACACAGGGGCTCCAGGAGCTCCTGGTCTGGTAGAAAGAAGACCTTACATGCTGCAGGAAGACTTTGGAGTATCACATGTTCCCTTAGCAGTTAGGGCCTCACAAATGACCCCTGACCTGCTGGGCAACACTGGGTAATAGTGTAGGGACTGAAGCTTCCAGAGGGTCCGAAGTTGCCCCTCTCCCTTTTGCCCCTCCTTCCTTCCACCATCCCAGGCTTGCTTTTCTACATCACCAGCCTGGTGTCCAGTAATCTGATTATCATGGTCATCCATTGATCAGCCAAGCACTTAGTCCCCAGGAATTACAGGGGGGCACAGACTCAAGACAGATCTGTCTGGGTTGTGGCATCAGGAGGCATGGTGACGATTCCCAGGGAGGTGCTTCTTGGGTCCAGGGTTTTCCGGTAAGCCTAATTCTCACCCTCACCCTGGGCCTGTGTTCCCCTGCTCCTGTGCGTGACTGGGTCCTCTGGGTGCTTGGACCAGGTGCAGTGTGTCTGCTTTCCCCATCAGACCAGCAGGAGACCAAACTTGCTCTCTCTTTGTCCCACAGGGCTTAGGCCCTTCAGGAACATCTCCCTGTAATGTGAGTGGCCACCTTCTCAGAGGCTGCAGGAGATGGATTCACTGAAAAGGAAAAGGGGAAAATCATTTGCTGTTATTGTGTTAGGGACTCTTAGCACCTCACTGAGACCTCAACAGCCCGGGGATGGGAGTGCTGTCCCTAACACAGAAGGGTCGGGAAGTCTCAAGAAGTTGCCTGAGTGCACCAAGCTAGTTAGCAAAGTTAGCCCTTTGAACCTAGGTCCTATGATGTTCAAGTCCATGCTCATTCCTACATCCTGCCCTTGGTTTTGTTTTTTTTTTCAGACCATCTCACTCTGTGCCCTAGGTAGAGTGCTGTGGCATAACAGCTGATAGCAACCTCAAACTCTTGGGCTCAAGCAGTTCTCTTGCCTCAGCCTCCCAAATAGGTGGGACTTCAGGTGCCCACCACAAATACCCAGCTAATTTTTCTATTTTTAGTAGAGACAAGGTCTCGCTCTTGCTAAAGCTGGTCTCAAGAACTCCTGAGCTCAGGCAATCCACCCACCTCAGCCTCCCAGTGCTAGGATTGCAGGTGTGAGCCACCGTGCCCAACCTCATCCTGCCCTTTTTCAAAGTGCATGTCCCCTGGCCCAAGGTATGGAGAGTGGCCACCTTGAGCTGGGCAAAGTTGGTCCCTTAGGGGTAAAGCAACTGGCACTGACAGGAAGTGCAGCCAGTGCTGAGCCCAAGAAGCTTCCTGCCTCAGCACAGAGTGGTCATCAGTGAACTGGTCCACCTCTTCCTTCCAGGAAGCCCTCCACACTCCGGTCAGAGCCTGGCTCTGGCCCCTGGGAATTTGCCAGCCAGCATTCTGGTTTGCAAATTTATCCTCATATTCTAACTTCATGGTTCATTGTGGGGGAGAGGAGGGTGTCAGGAAATTGTGATAATGAGACATAAGAGGAAACAAGAGCAGCTCAGAGTCCCATCTTCTAGGGCCAGAGGACAAGTCTCACCTTCCCACCAGGGAGTTCTTCTTCGAGGTCCACTCACCCTGTCCATAGTCCACTAACAGACAGAGTCAGTATAGCACACAAGGGACTTGGCGTATCTCACCCTTCCATTTTCTGAGACTCTCCCTCCATAGCCTCAGCCAAGAGCCCGGCTAATCCAGAGCCTGTCCTGGTCTGCCTGTGTTTAGATTGGATTAGAGTGACCCAGCTGAGCTAGTAGTCCCCAAGAGGTAAGGGTCCCAGATAAAAGACTAAGAATACTTAGGGGCCATCCTCCTCATTCCCGGGTCTGTGCAGGGTGGGGCCAGAATGATTATCCATCCAAGCATGTTTTAAAGCCGACACAGAGGTCCCAGGCAAAAATTCTGTCAGGACCCTTTGGATTTACTCTAAGAACAGGCCTGCATGGGGAAGAACCCCCTCCCAATGTGGGGGATTCACTGGTCTGCGAAAACCAGACAGAGGCTTAGATACCATAAATGGTGAACGCGACTGAGAGACATAGCCAGGCGCTCGCAGCCCCGGCAGCGTTTGGGCTGTCTCTGCACAGGATTGGGGCAGGGCGAGCCTGGCACAGTGACACCCTGGCACTGTGCCCCAAGGCACTCAGTGGGCACAGGCCCGCTTCCCGCACCATCCTCAGCTGAGGAGTTTTTCTTGCTTTACTGGCAGCTCCTGTGGCTGTGGGTCCTCTGGGGGCAGCTTGGGGGTGGGGAGATAATTGCAGTGGAGCCGTTCCTTCCCTTCTGCCACCCTTGGTGTGGCACCAGGTTGTGGAGGGGAGCGTGGATGTAGAGCAGACTGCCTGGTCTGAGTCTCTGCTGCACCAGCCACTGGCCCTGCAACTCAAGTGTCATTAACACTCCAGGCCTCACTTTCCTCTTGTGTGAAACGGGGATCCTGTGGTCACCTCACAGTACTGTGAGGAGTACATGTCCCCAGAGCATGAGAGGTGCTCAGTAAGGACATGCTGCTGTTATGAGGGCCATCCAGCAGAGCCGACCTTAAAACAAGATAAAATCAGTAAAAATGCCAGGACGGAGGAGGGATTTTACCAAAGGATAGGCAAGAAGAGCATAGGGAGGGGTAGGGCCCAATACCTGTAGCTATCGACCCGCACACCTCCAAGGGCTCTGGCCACAAGATGGCACCATTCAGCAACGGATCCCCCTCCCGTTGTCCTTTTTATGGGGGAGATGTGCCTGAGTTCAGCGAATACTATGCTGAAGGCCAGATGTGGGGCCTCCTCACCTTTTTTGCCTCTTGCTAAGGTTTTGCGGTCAACACAGAGTGTCGGCGTAGCACTCTGCTATGATTTCTGTGGCCGCTCTCATGTGTTTTCTCTGCTTCTCCTCCTCTGGCTAATGCTCGCGAATATCCCCTTCTCTGGAAAGCCTACACTCATCACCCCAGAATGAGTTCTCTTAACACACTGAAGTTCCCTTGCGGCACCCATGTATCGGCAAATCTTCACTGAGCACCTGTATTTATTCACGCCAGGCATTGTCCTGGGGAAACTGAGAAATAGGACAGATAAAGCCCCTGCCTTTGTGGGGTCTACATTCTGATGGGTTTATAGGCAAGAATCAACACCTGGTTCAATTTCAAAAGCCAACAAGTGTAATTAAGAATTAAACAGGGTTTGTTGGCCATTCATCTGTCTCCTGAGAAAAGATTCTGTTAATGAAGAAATGCTCATTATCTCTAATCATCAGAGAAATGCAAATACAACATCACTTGGAGATATGACCTAACCCAAGTGAGAATGGCCCACGTCACAAAGTCCCAAAGCAGCAGATGCTGGCTGGCATGGGTGTGGAAAGAAGGGAACACTTTTATACTATTGGTGGGACTGTAAACTAGTACAGCCTCTATGGAAAGAAGTGTGGAGATTCCTCAAAGAACTAAAAGTAGACCTTCCATTTGATTCTGCAATCTCTCATACTCCGTATCTACCTTAAAAAAGTCATTTTAACATAAGGACATTTGCGCTGTAATCAATTCACCATTGCAAAGATGTAGAAACAACCCAAGTGCCCGTCAACCCATGAATGGATTCATACACTGTGGTGTATGCACACCATAGAATACTATTCAGCCATAAAAAGATGGAGATTTTGTATCTTTTGTAACAACCTGGAAGGATTTAGAGAGCATTCTGCTAAGTAAAGTCTCTCAAGAATGGAAAATCAAACATCTCATGTACTCAATACTAAGTACTCAATTGAAACAAGTAGATTAACACATGAGAGAAAAACTGAAATTTAAGAAGTGAGGGGTTTGATAAGTTCCCACCCAGTGGCTCCAATGTACAGGTATATGGCACACTTCCTGGGTGAAGGACACAACTACAACTGGGACTTTACCTTTACGCAAACAACGTAATCTAATTTATTGACCTGGAATTAAAAAAAAAAAGAAAGAAAGAAGTTAAGCAGGGGACAGTATGGTGGCTCATACCTGTAATCCCCGCCCTTTGGGAGGCCAAGGTAGGAGAATCTCCTGAAGCCAGGAGTTGGAGACCATGACACAGCAAGACACTATCTATACAAAAAAAAAAAATTTAATTATCTGGACATGGTGGCAGCTCCTGTAGTTCAGCTGCTTAGGAGGCTGAGGCAGGAGAATTGCTTGAGCCCAGGAGTATGAGGCTGCAGTGAGCTATGATTGTACCACTGCACTTTAACCTAAGTGGCAAAGTGAGACCCTATCTCTAAAAAAGAAAAGCAGGGTATGGAAATAGAGAGGGATGGACGGGGTACTTTCTATTGTTGTAACAAAGAAAGCCTCAGAAGACTTCAGTAAATCAGGAAAAGTGCTCCAGGAAGTACAGCAAGCACCAAGGCCCAGAGTTGGGGAGTGACGTTGGCCTGTTCTAAGAACAGCCAGGTAGCCACTGTGGGAGGTGCAAAGTGAACAGGTGGCAGAGTGACAGAAGTGAGTTCAGAGGTAGAGGCAGGGTATGTCCTGCAGGGCCCCTGGTAAGGAGAAAGCATTTTATTCTGTGAAATTGTCCTCTAATTTTCCTCTAATTGTTTGTCTTCCCTGCGTACTGTAAGCTCCCTGCAGGGAGAGACCACATCTTACTACTGTGAGCAGAACAGGGCCTGCTTGTGTTCAGTGAGTGAATGAGAG